GTGATAGACTACATCCAATTTGCTGAGTAGAGTGTTGGAGGCTATTTTGTAAATGACATCGCCGAAGTCAAGGATCGGTAGGATAGTCAGTTTTACAAGGGCATGTTTGGCAGCATGAGTGAAGGAGGCTTTGTTGCGAAATAGGAAACCGATTCTGGATTTAACTTTGGATTTGAGATTCTTAATGTGTCTGGAAGGAGAGTTTACAGTCTAACCAGACACCTAGGTATTTGTAGTTGTCCACATACTCTAGGTCAGACCCGTCGAGAGTAGTGATTCTAGTCGGGTGGGCGGGTGCAAGCAGCGTTCGGTTGAAGAGCATGCATTTAGTTTTACTAGTGTTTAAGAGCAGTTGGAGGCTACTGAAGGAGTGTTGTATGGCATTGAAGCTCGTTTGGAGGTTTGTTAACACAGTGTCCAATGAAGGGCCAGATGTATACAAAATGGTGTCGTCTGCATAGAGGTGGATCTGAGAGTCACCAGCAGCAAGAGCGACATCATTGATATACACAGAGAAAAGAGTTGGCCCAAGAATTGAACCCTGTGGCACCCCCATAGAGACTGCCATAGGTCCAGACAACAGGCCCTCCGATTTGACACATTGAACTCTATCTGAGAAGTAGTTGGTGAACCAGGCGAGGCAGTCATTTGAGAAACCAAGGCTATTTAGTCTGCCAATAAGAATGCGGTGGTTGACAGAGTCGAAAGCCTTGGCCAGGTCGATGAAAACGGCTGCACAGTACTGTCTATTATCGATCGCGGTTATAATATAGTTTAGGACCTTGAGCGTGGCTGAAGTGCACCCATGACCAGCTCGGAAACCGGATTGCATAGCGGAGAAGGTACGGTGGGATTCGAAATGGTCGGTGATCTGTTTGTTAACTTGGCTTTCAAAAACTTTCGAAAGGCAGGGCAGGATGGATATGGGTCTGTAACAGTTTGGATCTAGAGTGTCACCCCCTTTGAAGAGGGGGATGACCGCGGCAGCTTTCCAATCTCTGGGGATCTCAGACGTTACGAAAGAGAGGTTGAACAGGCTAGTAATAGGGGTTGCGACAATTTCGGGGGCTATTTTTAGAAAGAAATGATTTGTAGGGGTCCAGATGATTTGTAGGGGTCCAGATTTTGCAGCTCTTTCAGAACATCAGCTGTCTGGATTTGTGTGAAGGAGAAGCGGGGGGGGCATGGGCAAGTTGCAGCGGAGGGTGCAGAGCTGGTGGCCGGGGTAGTGGTAGCCAGGTGGAAAGCATGGCCAGCCGTAGCAAAATGCTTGTTGAAATTCTCGATTATTGTAGATTTATCGGTGGTGATAGTGTTTCCTAGCCTCAGTGCAGTGGGCAGCTGGGAGGAAGTGCTCTTATTCTCCATGGACTTTACAGTGTCCCAAAACTTTTTGGAGTTAGTGCTACAGGATGCAAATTTCTGTTTGAAAAAGTTAGCCTTTGCTTTCCTAACTGCTTGTGTATATTGGTTCCTAACTTCCCTGAAAAGTTGCATATCGCGGGGGCTATTTGATGCTAATGCAGTACGCCACAGGATGTTTTTGTGCTGGTCAAGGGCAGTCAAGTCTGAGGAGAACCAGGGGCTATATCTGTTCTTAGTTCTGTATTTTTTGAATGGGGCATGTTTATTTAAGATTGAGAGGAAATTACTTTTAAAGAACAACCAGGCATCCTCTACTGACGGAATGAGATCTATATCCATCCAGGATACCTGGGCCAGGTCAATTAGGAAGGCCTGCTCGCTGAAGTGTTTTTGGGAGCGTTTGACAGTGATGAGGGGTGGTCGTTTGACCGTGGACCCGTTACGGACGCAGGCAATAAGGCAGTGATCGCTGAGATCCTGGTTGAAGACAGCAGAGGTGTATTTAGAGGGTAAGTTAGTCAGGATGATATCTATGAGGGTACCCATGTTTACGGATTTAGGGTTGTACCTGGTAGGTTCGTTGATGATTTGTGTGAGATTGAGGGCATCTAGTTTAGATTGTAGGAAGGCCGGGGTGTTAAGCATATCCCAATTTAGGTCACCAAGCAGTACGAACTCTGAGGATAGATGGGGGGCAATCAATTCACATATGGTGTCCAGGGCACAGCTGGGGGCTGAGGGGGGTCTGTAGCAAGCGGCAACAGTGAGAGATTTATTTATTGAAAGGTGGATTTTTAGAAGTAGAAGCTCAAGCTGTTTGGGCACAGACCTGGATAGTATGATAGAGCTCTGCAGGCTATCTCTACAGTAGATTGCAACTCCACCCCCTTTGGCAGTTCTATCTAGACGGAAAATGTTATAGTTGGGGATGTAAATTTCAGAATTTTTGGTGGCCTTCCTAAGCCAGGATTCAGACACTGCTAGAACATCAGGGTTGGCGGAGTGTGCTAACGCAGTGAATAACTCAAACTTAGGAAGGAGGCTTCTGATATTTATGTGCAGAAAACCAAGGCTTTTACGGTTACAGAAGTCAACAAATGATAGCTCCTGGGGAGTAGGAGTGATACTGGGGGCTGCAGGGCCTGGGTTCGCCTCTACATCACCAGAGGAACAGAGGAGGACTAGAATAAGGATACGACTAAAGGCTTTAAGAACTGGTCTTCTAGTGCGTTGGGTACATAGAATAAAGGGGGCAGTTCTCCGGGCGTTGTAGAAAAGATTCAGGGCATTATGTACAGAAAAGGATATGGAAGGATATGAGTACAGTTGAGGTAAACCTAAGAGTTGGGTAACAATGAAAGAGATAGCATCACTGGAGGCACCGATTGAGCCGGTCTCGGCGTGTATGGGGGGTGGAACAAAGGAACTATTTGAGGCAGTTTGAGAGGGACTAGGGGTTCTACAGTGAAATTGTATAGTAAGAACTAACCCAAACAGCAATAGGCAAGGCATATTGACATGGGAGAGAGGCATAAAGCAATCACAGGTGTTATTAGAGAGAGCTAAGACAACAACTGGTAATAGCGATAAAGTTTGGGCTGAGGCTAAACAGATAAACAGGACAGGGTACCGTGTAAAGGAACAGTCCAGCAGGCATCAGCTGTGCAGCTGAGTGATCATAAGGTCCAGTGAACAGCAATATGTGAGTCCGAGAGCAGTTCAAATTGGTGCTTCAGCACAGCTAGCAGGGAGTACAGTTGTAGTTTGCGTGTGCTAGCGGGCCGGGGCTAGCAGATGGATCTTCGTGGTCGTCGCAACGGGAAGCCTGTTGAAACCACATCAGACGATTTCGTCGGCAAACCAGTCGTGTTGGATCGGCGGGGCTCAGTGTCAACACTAGGAGGTCCCGTCCGGTTGACAGAGAGGTAGATAGCCGGGAGATGGGCCTGAGGCTAGCTCAAGGCTAACTGGTGCTTGCTATGGGGCAATGGTAATTAGCCAACAACAGGTTGCAGCTAGCTAGCTGGTTGCGATGGTCCGGCGCTAGGGTCCAGTGATTCCGGCAGAAAGTCCGATAAGCTCTGGGTCGATAGCACGCTGTGCAGACTGGCCGACGAATTGTCCAGGCTAGAGCTAGTACTGGCTGGTGGATAGTGTAGGCCACGGACAATGGTGAAGATGCTAACGGTGACTAATAGCAAGTAGCCATTCAGTTGCAGCTACACTAGTTTCAGCTTAAGGTTCTTGATGAAAGTTATAAAGAAATAATAGAATCCTTTCCACGTTGGGTGAGGCGGGTTGCAGGAAAGTATAGTTAGTTAAAGAATGAAAAGTAAAATTGAGAAATATATACAAAATAGACAAAAAAAACAAGAAACTGGATATTTACACTAGGACACAGAATAAAACCACGACCGCACTGCTACGCCATCTTGGAGGAAGTCCTTCATAATATTCTCTGTTATTTCTCCCTCCTTTTCCTGAATACCCGTAAGTACTAGATTTTCCCTCATCGATCTAGTTTGGATGTCTAGTAAGGCTTCTCTCAGAAGGTTGTTCTCCTTTTTTAGTTCCCTAACGTCAGTTTCCATTTGAGTCACTTTTAATTTTTTGGTTTCTTTCTCCATTACCAAAGCTTTTTCGTCACTCATTTGAAGACTCGCTTTCAACTCTTTTACGTCCTTACTGACCAATTCTAGTATGCCCAATTTGTCATTTATCGACTTCAACAGGTCGCTTTCCACACTTACCAGACCCAGTGGTGAAAAGCATATATCATCTGTATCAGTCGATGAGTCGCGTTTCCTTTTGGGGATCGGCTCTCCACGCTTGTCTTCAGTCATGTTTGGGTGTTGCGTGTTGTTGGAATATTTGTCGATATATTTCTCTAGCCTTATGATCTGTTTTGTGTTATTATCCAGATTGAATTATATTAGCTGCGAATATATGAAATGCTAATATTTAGTCTAACTTACTGATTTTGAATATTATGTTTTTATCTTGAGGTGTTTTGTACCGATTTCTATTCAATACGCCATCTTGTCTACGCGTGCCCCGCCAATCTATTGTTTGTACAGATGAACGTGGTACCTTCAGGCATTTGGAAATTGCTCCCAAAGATGAACCAGACTTGTGGAGGTCTACAATTATTTTTCTGAGGTCTTGGCTGATTTCTTTTGATTTTCCCATGATGTCAAGCAAAGAGGCACTGAGTTTGAAGGTAGGCCTTGAAATACATCCACAGGTACACCTCCAATTGACTCAAATGATGTCAATTAGCCTATCAGAAGCTTCTAAAGCCATGACATCATTTTCTGGAATTTTCCAAGCTGTTTAAAGGCACAGTCAACTTAGCATATGTAAACTTCTGACCCACTGGAATTGTGATACAGTGAATTATAAGTGAAATAATCTGTCTGTAAACAATTGTTGGAAAAATTACTTGTGTCATGCACAAAGCAGATGTCCTAACCGACTTGCCAAAACTATAGTTTGTTCACAAGAAATTTGTGGAGTGGTTGAAAAAAACGAGTTTTAATGACTCCAACCTAAGCGTATGTAAACTTTCCGACTTCAACTGTACCTCTAGGTCTTTGTGTTCTAATTAATGATATGTTTGTTTGCTTGTACATACTTGTGATGGGCTCCACCTCTCCCCTCTGGATGATGATGGTAAGCATGAGGACAAGCTGTGGGGCGCTCTCAGAGAAGGTCTCGATGAGGCGCAGCATGTTAAGGTCATGGGTCAGAAATACAGCATCGCCCTCCGTGTAACGCTTTCCACAGCAGAAGCCACATATCGAGATCCTCACCACACCAGCGTATCTAAAATGACAGCCGCACCCATTTTATATTTTTGGATTTTATACACGGGATTCACAGTGAATATAATAACTATCTTCATTTTATATTCTAGAAAGGAGTTTGGTTACAAAGGTGTTTCCGCCTTGAGGTGAGATGGAAACACATAAAGCAACCAAATTCTTAAAGGAGCCTTGCTTGCCAGACTTAAAGCTCATAAGGATTGTGAAAACCAGTGGTGCAAAGTACTTAAGTAAAAATACTTTAAAGTACTACTTAAATGCTTCATTTCTAAATGATGTCTGAGTGTTGGAGTGAGCCCCTGGCTATCTGTGAATTAAATAAAACAAGAAAATGGTGCTGTCTGGTTTGCTTATATAAGGAATTTGAAATGGTTTATACTTTTACTATTGATATTTGAGTATATTTTAGCAATTACATTTACTTTTGATACTTAAGTATATTTAAAAACAAATACTTTTTGACTTTTACTCAAGTAGTATTTTACTGGGTGACTTTCACTTTTACTTTAGTCATTTTCTATTAAGGGATCTTTGCTTTTACTTAAGTATGACAATTGGGTACCTTTTCCACCACTGGTGAAACAAGTTATTTAGGTTATAAACACAGTCTGTGGCTGTTTCTGTTCACAGTTCAACATCAAGTTTAGTCAACAAAGTTTAACTGAACCTGAGGTAGACTCCCATCTGGAACACATGGAGGATCTTGAGGGAGCGGAGGCTCTTCACAAGGCTCTCTGTCCTGGTCTCAGTCCTGTCCTTGTCATAGTGGTACCACAGCCAGCTGAAAGCCTGGACCAGGGCTGAGGAGCCCAGTAGTAGAAACACCAGCATTCCCATGAACACGTAGGCCTCTTGTCGGTAAAAAGACACCACCGCCAACACGTCTAGTACCACATCTATGAGAAAAAACAACAGACCACTGACAGTCAACAAGAAGTCAGAGGCGGGGTACTTGAACGGGACAGGGATTCCCACTTCCTCCTCCATGGTGGCTGTGTAAACAGAAATCCCACACGTTAGCGTTGGCTCTAGCACTTATCTACCCCAAGGAAAGAGAGAGAGAGAGAGAGAATGAAAAGCGAAGAAAAAAAGTTGCTGTGGAGGAACCTTTGTACTGTGAAACTGAAAGTAAAGTCCAGCAGGTTTTCAAGTCTACACCTTCCCATTCAAATTCCTCCCGCCCCCTAACATGCTTTGGGGAGGGACAAGAGAAATATGTATATTTGCATTCAACAGAGTATTTCAAGTTGTAGACAACCTGACGTGATAATAAAGTAATGTTCCCATACTGTTTTACCCACTTTATATGTATAGTATTCATAATACTGTATTGTAGTCATGGCTAATTTATATATAACTACTGCTGTACACACCTTTTTCTAGTCATATACTGTCCATGATGTCTATACACACCATTATAAACTGAGTATACAAACCCTTGAATGAGTAGGTGTGTCCAAACTTTTGACTGGTACTGTATACGCTATCTGTCAAAGGTTTTAGAACACCTACTCATTCAAAGGTTTTTCTTTATTTTTTACTATTTTCTACATTGTAGAATAATTGTGAAGACATCAAAACTATGAAATAACACATATGGAATCATGTAGCAACCAAAAAAAGAGTTAAACAAATCAAAATATATTTTATATTTGAGATTCTTCAAATAGCCACCCTTTGCCTTGATGACAGCTTTGCACACTCTTGGCATTCTCTCAACCAGCTTCACCTGGAATACTTTTCCAACAGTCTTGAAGGACTTCCCACATATGCTGAGCACTTGTTGGTTGCTTTTCCTTCACTCTGCAGTCCGAGTCATCCCAAACCATCTCAGACAGTGTCACCACCAAAGCACCCCAACACCCCCTCCTCCATGCTTCACAGTGGGAAATACACATGCGGAGGAACCAAAAATCTCAAATTTGGACTCCAGACCAAAGGATACATTTCCACCGGTCTAATGTCCATTGCTCGTGTTTCTTGGCCCAAGCATGTCTCTTCTTCTTATTGGTGTCCTTTAGTAGTGGTTTTTTTTGCAGGAATTTGACCATGAAGGCCTGATTCACACAGTCCCCTCTGAACAGTTGATGTTGAGATGTGTCTGTTACTTGAACTTTGTGAAGCATTTATTTGGGCTGAAATTTCTGAGGCTGGTAACTCTAATGAACTTATCCTCTGCAGCAGAGGTAACTCTGGGTCTTCCATTCCTGTGGCGGTCCTCATGAGAGCCAGTTTCAACATAGCGCTTGATGGTTTTTGCGACTGCACTTGAAGAAACTTTCAAAGTTCTTGAAATGTTCCGTATTGACTGACCTTCATGTCTTAAAGTAATGATGGACTGTCGGTTCTCTTTGCTTATTGGAGCTGTTCTTGCCATAATATGGACTTGGTCTTTTACCAAATGATTCTATCTTCTGTATACCCCCCTACCTTGTCACAACACAACTGATTGGCTCAAACTCATTAAGAAGGAAATAAATTCCACACATTAACTTTTAAGAAGGCACACCTGTTAATTGAAATGCATTCCAGGTGACTACCTCACGAAGCTGGTTGAGAGAATGCCAAGAATGTGCAAAGCTGTCATCAAGGCAAAGGGTGGCTATTTGAAGAATCTCAAATATATTTTTATTTGTTTAACACTTTTTTGGTTACTACATGATTCATGTGTTATTTATTTCATAGTTTTGATGTCGTCACTATTATTCTACAATGTAGAAAATAGTAAAAATTAAGAAAAACCTTTGAATGAGTAGGTGTTCTAAAACTTTTGACCGGTAGTGTATACAGTGTATATATATAAATATACTGTATAGTCCGGACTGACATTGCTCGATCTGATATTTCTTAATTTCTTTATTTTTACTTTTTGGATTATGTGTGTATTGTTAGGTATTACTGCACTATTGGAGCTAGAAACACAAGCATTTTGCTGCACCTGCGATAACATCTGCAAATCTGTGTAGACAACCAATAAACTTTGATTTGATTTGTAAAGAAACAATTAAAGACAAGCAAATTAACAAAGTTCCTGAAGTCACTATGGGTCCTCAGGTAGATAAAGTTACTGAAATCACTAATGGGTCCTCAGGTAGAAAAAGTTAAAGTACAACAATGCAATACTAGCTAGTACACTTCAACTTACAGTGGAGAAAAAAAGTATTTAGTCAGCCACCAATTGTGCAAGTTCTCCCACTTAAAAAAGATGAGAGAGGCCTGTAATTTTCATCATAGGTACACGTCAACTATGACAGACAAAATGAGAATTTTATTTCCAAAAAATCACATTGTAGGATTTTTAATGAATTTATTTGAAAATTATGGTGGAAAATAAGTATTTGATCAATAACAAAAGTTTCTCAATACTTTGTTATATACCATTTGTTGGCAATGACACAGGTCAAACGTTTTCTGTAAGTCTTCACAAGGTTTTCACACACTGTTGCTGGTATTTTGGCCCATTCCTCCATGCAGATCTCCTCTAGAGCAGTGATGTTTTGGGGCTGTCGCTGGGCAACACAGACTTTCAACTCCCTCCAAAGATTTTCTATGGGGTTGAGATATGGAGACTGGCTAGGCCACTCCAGGACCTTGAAATGCTTCTTACGAAGCCACTCCTTCGTTGCCTGGGCGGTGTGTTTGGGATCATTGTCATGCTGAAAGACCCAGCCACGTTTCATCTTCAATGCCCTTGCTGATGGAAGGAGGTTTTCACTCAAAATCTCACGATACATGGCCCAATTCATTCTTTCCTTTACACGGATCAGTCGTCCTGGTCCCTTTGCAGAAAAACAGCCCCAAAGCATGATGTTTCCACCGCCATGCTTCACAGTAGGTATGGTGTTCTTTGGATGCAACTCAGCATTCTTTGTCCTCCAAACACGACGAGTTGAGTTTTTACCAAAAAGTTCTATTTTGGTTTCATCTGACCATATGACATTCTCCCAATCCTCTTCTGGATCATCCAAATGCACTCTAGCAAACTTCAGACGGGCCTGGACATGTACTGGCTTAAGCAGGGGGACACGTCTGGCACTGCAGGATTTGAGTCCCTGGCGGCGTAGTGTGTTACTGATGGTAGGCTTTGTTACTTTGGTCCCAGCTCTCTGCAGGTCATTCACTAGGTCCCCCGTGTGGTTCTGAGATTTTTGCTCACCGTTCTTGTGATCATTTTGACCCCACGGGGTGAGATCTTGCGTGGAGCCCCCGATCGAGGGAGATTATCAGTGGTCTTGTATGTCTTCCATTTCCCAATAATTGCTCCCACAGTTGATTTCTTCAAACCAAGCTGCTTACCTATTGCAGATTCAGTCTTCCCAGCCTGGTGCAGGTCTACAATTTTGTTTCTGGTGTCCTTTGACAGCTCTTTGGTCTTGGCCATAGTGGAGCTTGGAGTGTGACTGTTTGAGGTTGTGGACAGGTGTCTTTTATACTGATAACAAGTTCAAACAGGTGCCATTAATACAGGTAACGAGTGGAGGGCAGAGGAGCCTCTTAAAGAAGAAGTTACAGGTCTGTGAGAGCCAGAAATCTTGCTTGTTTGTAGGTGACCAAATACTTATTTTCTACCATAATTTTCAAATAAATTCATTAAAAATCCTACAATGTGATTTTCTGGAGAAAAAAAATCTCAATTTGTCTGTCATAGTTGACGTGTACCTATGATGAAAATTACAGGCCTCTCTCAACTTTTTAAGTGGATAACTTGCACAATTGGTGGCAGACTAAATACTTTTCTTCCCCACTGTACATCATGTTTGAAGACAGATATGTGAGCATTACTCATATGAGATGATATTATACTAATGTATTGACGCTGTCAATATGTGCAGCCCTGGAAGAACACTTGAGGAACTTTTAAGAAAATAACATTGAAACCACAGATATAAACGACACAAAAGATAAGGCATAACTACATAACTCTGTGATTGTCTTATGATTTTAATAGCCCGGCATTACATGCCCTTTAAATGATGAGGTAAGAGAAAGGTTGAAGTGTTGACCTTCAGGGGAAAAGGTTCACACAACACATTGTGTGACAACAATCATGTGCAAGAACGAATGAGATGACAGTTAAAATATGGAATATTGGGTTCCATTCTGCAGTATCCAATAATGTTACACACAGAAATCTTAACATTCTAGGAACATAACTTCACAAGGCCACAGGAATGGCTATAGAGACAGAACATTGTCCAAAACATTGGGCCCATTGGGCTCTGGTCAAAAGTAGTGCACTATAGCGGGAATCGGGTGCCATTTGGGCCATACAGTGTGATTAAAAAGTAACTGTATTGAAGTTCCCTCCATGTGTACGTACAGTGTGGCCTACATAGATTTGATATATACAAAAAAAAGACTACTGAAGCTGGTGGATGAGTGACCGTCCCAGTCATTAGTGGGTGCACTGTCTGCACAGATACAGACAAGGAATAAAAAATAACACAATAGTTACAACGGGAAAGCGAGGAACGTGATAGTCCATCCTACATTCATTGTACTTCCAAAAATAGTAAACAAAATGTCAATTAACTTTCAGAATGCTATAGATAGGTAAAAATATATATATATTTTCACACAATAATAAAAACGGATAAAATAGTACCATTACTACTTCTTCTAATTACCTTTGGCAGCATGAACGGTAGCAGGGTCGTTTCACAAAATTAGTTCCTTTTGATATTTTAAGTAGAAATTGTGCACCAATATTGAATTTTACAAGCCTGTTATATTAAATGAAGTGCCCTTTAAAGGGATCCTTTGGGATTTTGGCAATGAGTCCCTTTAGCTACTCCCCCAGAGTCAGATGAACTCGTAGATACCATTTTTATGTCTCCATGTGTAGTTTGAAGGAAGTTGCTAACTAGCTCTACTGCAATTGCTAACTAAGATACCCATTGACTCCCAGTCATTGCGCTAACGCTAGTTAGCATTGGCTGACGACGCTACATCTAACTTCCTTCATACTGGACATACAGACATAAAAATGATATCCGCATCTAAGTCTGGGGAAGTAGATAAACAGCCTCATTGCCAAAATCCCAAAGTAACCCTTTAATATTGACCAAATAGAAAAGTATATCCCAATGGGCCCTGGCCAAAAGTAGTGCACTATATAGGGAATAGGGTGCCATTTGGGACGAAACTTCAGAGTGAGCTTATCACTGTTTCCCAAAATATGCTAATTTGAAAATCAACTCTGATTTACAATGAGTTGTGCAGCACCTGATTTCTACAGAAATACAGCATGAAAAACAGGACAGTCTAGAAAAAGACAGAAGACATTCCATCATCACTCGGTCATCGCATGTAAAGTCTAGTTCAAGCACATCCAGTCAGACAACAGTGTTGGCCTTGGGCCCGGTTGTCCTACTGGGCTGTCTGGTGTCCTCCTCGGAGTAGAAGTGAGTGGCATGGCTTGCCATCCTCTTGTTACGGAACCGGGGAGTGCCAGTTTGGGGGCCGATGGTTCTGAACACCATCTCCTGACCATCAGGCAGCCCCTCTTCTAACTCTTTCTCCCTGACGGGGGGGCTCCACAGCGTGGGGTGAAAACAGCAGTAGTAGAGGGTTTTAAACAGGACCCCCATCAGGTAGGTGAGGGGCAGAGTGGCCAGCAGGATGGGGGCGTAGGACTGCGTCAGGACCGGGTCTCTGTAGAACCACCATGTGACCAGCAGGATCCCTCCGTCCGTGGCCATGAAGGAGTGATAGATGATGCTCCTCCCTCTGGTCCCTCCCTCCGCCACGTTGAACCAGCTGAAGTACCAGATGAGACCTACGGTGGCCCGGTAGAGCCATTCTCCGCTGGCGCTGTCCATGAAGTCCGTCTCCTGCCTCCACACCCAGAACACCAGCACTGGCCAGATAAGCAGGAAGTGGGCGGCCACGTAGGAGGGCAGGACTGTGGCGAAGAGGGCGACTGATGCCACGCGCGGGGCGATGAGAAGCAGGTTCCACAGGAAGTAGACCAAGGCGGAACCCCAGCCTTGCTTGGCCTTGTCTGGGAGGAAGGAACGCAGGGAGCGGTGGTAGTCCACCACCATCCAGCCTTGCTTGGCCTTGTCTGGGAGGAAGGAACGCAGGGAGCGGTGGTACTCCACCACCATCCAGGGTATGGAAGTAGTTGACGCCATGACACTCACACCTACAAAAGAGATGACAAGAGGAAGTTGATAGGCCAAAGATCGTTGAACACATAGAAGTGCTGGGCGATGCTTTTTGAAGTCTGTAGAAAGGGTTATACATGTTACCCAAAAGGGTTCTACCTGGAACCAAAAGGGTTGTACCTGCAACCAAAAAGGGTTCTTCAAAAGGTTCTCCTATGAGGACAGCCGAAGAACCCTTTAAGGTTCTAGATGGCACCTTTTTTTAAATTAAAGTAAAGGGTGCCATTTTTGTAACGAACCCCAGGTGTCGAGGTGACAGCAACTCACACTGCACAGTGCTAGCCTTGTTGGTGTGCAGCATGGTGTGGGTCATGAGGGTGAGCTGCGGTGCGCTCTCACAGAAGGTCATCGATGAGGCGCAGCATTCTCAGGTCGTAGGTCAGGTACACGGCGTACCCCGAGCACTGCTTCCACCGCCACAACACACGGAAGCCCTGCCATATGGCTGAGATGTTTCTGTGGACAAACACTGTCTGTTAGTCGGAGCAGCATTAAACAGGAAACACCTGCCAAGGACAATAGAACATGCACACATGGACATCATTCAAAAAAAATTCCACTTAGCTAACTTATCATCTGTGTAGGTCGGGAGTAAAGCTGGCGGAACAGAGCACTATCATTACATTTACATTTTAGTCATTTAGCAGACGCTCTTATCCAGAGCCACTTACAGTTAGTGAGTGCATACGTTATTTTTTTATACCCCCCATGGGAAACGAACCCACAACCCTGGCGTTGCAAACGCCATGCTCTACCAACTGAGCTACATCCCTACCGGCCATTCCCTCCCCTACCCTGGACGACGCTGGGCCAATTGTGCGCCGCCCCATGGGTCTCCCGGTCGCGGCCGGCTACGACAGAGCCTGGATTCGAACCAGGATCTCTAGTGGCACGACAACTGCGCCACTCGGGAGGTATCATGAGCTGAATGGTCCTTGTACCACCGAAATAGTTTGAATTCCCATCTTGTGTTACTAAGCGGCAATAAACCAGAAGACACCGATCATTGTCAGAGAACCGGATGCAGACATAGGTCTATTTACGCCATAAAAATAAATAAAAATCCACTTATCTGTGTAGGTGGGGAGTGAGCATGTCAAGACAGAGCCTACTGGCTATGTTTACATACCTGACACACCCCGAGTGGTAACTTGATGGTTTCCACACAAGTCAAATGTTATTAGCTGCGCATGAGCTGCTCCGTGAGCCTCAGTGTTCACACCACAAAGAGAAAATTATACAAATATGAGCATCATGAGCTGTAAGGATCATTCTTGTCCTTCGCCCAAATAGTTTGAATTCCCAATGAACTATCATGTGTGTTATTATGCACTTATTACATTATATGTGCAGTCCAATGACTGGCTTTTCTTGCTGACACAACTGTCAGTTATGTAGAACCCATCAAGTTACCTAAGTCTATTGTTATTAGCTGTCCACGAGCTGCTCCGTGAGCCTCAGTATTAACAAGACTAAGAGGAAATTATACATTTCACAAATAGCATGCAGCACATCATGTCTTATTGTGAACTCCCTGACATGTATTTCTCTTTTTTTGGATAGATGGCTTAGGAAATCAATTTCATAGGCTACATAAAAACTTCAGAGGAAATTATAGCTATTATTATAATATGACCAAATTATAATAAAGAATTATGAACTACACTGTAGCCATAGAATAAATCAATGACAATGTATTTCCCAATCAATGTAGATTGTGTTTTTAGACTACTTTGTCTAGTACATTGTGATAAACCAGGTGTAGTTAACAAAGATGGTCCACATGAGAATCAAGTGCATGCAATCCAAGTGTCAAAATAAAAATCTAGCTACAGTACCTGCAAAAGAATCCGAGCTGAAGTACATGTAGCAGGAATGAAAGTTTGACACAGCCTCCAAAGAGGACATTGTAGTATCGGGTCAATGCTGGCAACTATTGCTGATAAACAAAGGAGTCCGCTCATACTGAACCTTTGATCATAAGTTTTATTCATATCACAAGATTTCAGCATGAGGTTACAGGTGTCATGACACCCGGAGAACGGCGTCCCAGATTGCAATGGCCGCTCTAACTTCTTCGTCGTTTTTACCCAGTATATATAATCTTCCCAAGATATGGGTGGCTCCCTCTACTGTCCAATCCCCTGTCTACAACACACAGACTCCTATCCGGGGTGTCACAATAAAACCGGCTCTCTTTCTGCTAAATAAACATCCTTTCAGGTTCCACTTAAAAACATTAACAAAGACATAATCCTAATACACTACAACATGATTGGCAGTTTGCTCATCGAATCCCTCAAGCTCGCGGTCGTATTTGAACCAGAACCAGCTAAACATCTGGACCACGACCGAAGACAGGACCATAAGGCCGATCAAAACTCCGAACCAGAAGAAATCCCCACGCGAGTAGAACTCCGTAGCGACCCAAATATCGGATCCCACGTCAAACAAGAAGGTACACACACCGACTACCGAGAAAAGAAAATCGAGCCATGAATACTTCAAAAACATTGGGCTAGCCATAGCTAAATATCACCTGTCCGGCCGCTCTCTAAAAATTTTCCGTTAGCTGTCAGACATTGTAGCTAGCGATCACATCTCCATTGTAAAGTTGATCTCAAGAGGTGCGTTCAATTCGATTGAACGTTTGCTACGTTGCGTAACGGTTTGTACTGGACGACAAGTTTCCCCAAAAGGTTCTTCAACGTTCTTGAACAGACTTGGAGGTACGTTTGCTCCGGTTGGTGGGTGTGGCATGAAGCAAAGCGTGAAGGGGCAGCGGCCATGCTGACAGCGTTCCCCAACACACAATTCAACCATTTCCCGTTTTGAACTGGTTGTTCAGAACAGCACCGTTTCCGTTTAATTTAATGTTGCATTACGTTTCTTCGTACTGAACGCAGCCCAGTTTGAATTGACGCCAGTGACATATGTCCCACACAACGATCAGCATCCAAATGTATAGAAGCCCCTTCCAGAACAACACGTCGGAAACATTACATTTTACATTTTAGTCATTTAGCAGACGCTCTTATCCAGAGCGACTTACAGTTAGTGAGTGCATACATTTTTATTTATTTTTTTCAAACATCCGAGGTGCCAGTTAGTGGTCAGAGAAGATTGATGACTTCAGTGGTACAAATGAAAGAAAACTATCTTTGCATTGACCATCCCATATAAGATTATTCACATGTGCTATGAACAAATCCACATGCGTGAACAACTATGCATTAAGCAAACATATATAATCTTCTATACTACTCAATGATTTATAAATCATTGATACTACTAGGCAGACAAGTCAACTTTACCTTGTTTATTCACACAGTTATTTCATTTACATTTTAAGGTCATTCTGATGTTATGAAATTAAACTGGGATTCATGTAAAGACCGTTGACATACAAAAGATCCAATCAATCTGGCCTAAAAAAAAAGATGTCCATGACATTCACTGTTGAATGAACAATGGAACGCTGTTATACATGGAATGAACATTGGAATGTGAATGAACTACACTATTCCCCCCAAAAGACAGAACAAACTTGCTAAATTTGAACAGTTCTTGGAACCAGTTGCACTCTTGGTGCTACAGTATAAAGAACCATGGAACGACTTCTATTGATGGGGAACAGCTTGTAGTGTTGTTTGAGTCAAATCAGTTTGTTTTGGCGGAAGGTTAAAGGAGTAGGTGGGATAAATCGTTGAAAAACGAACAAACCTTACTCGGTGTGGCGGCGGTTCGGCACGGCCGTGCTGTGAATGGGTCAGAGATGGTAGGAGATAGTGATGGAGAAGAAAGTGAAGCAAGTATGGAACATAGTGGTACAATTAAAGGAGGGAGTAAGAAATAAAAAAAAATAAAGCGGGAGAGAAAGGGAGAAGGAGTTTGAACGGGAGCGAGGGATCTATGGAGGCAGAAAAGGAAGTCTGAGGAGAGCAACCTAGCTTCCAACGCTAGCGGAAGTTTGGATGTAGAAAGTGCCGAGGAAGGGCAAGATAAGACACGAGAGGAACATGGAGGTGAGGAGGAGCATAAAGTTATTCTGAAGTTTAGGGAGGAAGGGGGAGTTGGGGCGATGAGTCCGATAAGGTTGACAGCTGTGATAAAGGAGTTGATTGGGGAAGTTGTCAATGCTAAAGTGTTAAGAGATGGGAGCTTGTTGGTGTGCTGTAAGGACATGGCGCAGAGTGAAGCAAATAGGGAAGTGTAAAGTGGAGTCGAGCACGTGGATTTATCAAGCAGGGAAGCAGTGGATTAAAGGGGTGATGACAGGAGTGCCTGTGAGTGGTAGCACTAAAGCGATAAGGGACAATTTGAGAGGAGGCGTTCTAGTGAATGTTAAAAGATTGCTAGCAACAAGGTGTGGAGATAGAGTAGATAGCCTGTCTATTCTGTTAATATTTCAAGGACCGGGTACTGCCAAATAAAGTAACAATAGGATATATGAGTTATTATGTGAGGGCTTATGTACCGAAGCCTTTAAGATGTTATAACTGCCAGAGGTTTGGGCATGTCGCAACAGCCTGTAAAGAGAAAAAGAGGTGTGCCAGGTGTGGAGGAGAGCATGAGTATGGGAAGTGTGGGGATGGTGGACCACCAAAGTGCTGCAACTGTGGGGGTGCTCATAGTGTGGCATATAGTGGGTGTGAGGCTATGAAGCAGGCAGTGGAGGTGCAACAAGTGAGAGTGGAGAGAAGGTTGCCATATGCTGAGGCAGTGAGGGTGGTCCAGGAGAGGAGGTTGTCATATGCTGAGGCAGTGAGGGTGGTCCAGGAGAGAAGGTTGTCATATGCTGAGGCAGTGAGGGTGGTCCAGGTCCAGGGAGATATAGGTTCAAGGGAGAGATAGGTAGGAGCATCTAGACCGGGGATTACGAGGGCAGGTGGGCGGCGATATGGTATACATAGAAAAGAGAAAGCTGGTGACGTTCATAGCAGGAGCTATCAATAGCACTGCTAAAGTAGAGTCTAAAACAGAGGATTAAGCTAATAGTGGAAGCTGCTGGGAGACATTTGCGTATGACAGGGTTGACATGAGAAGAGGTTCGAGATGACCTCAATCAGCCGAGGGTGGAGTCATGTATTACTGGATCTTAGTTATGGTGGTAGCACTACAGTGGAATGCTCAAAGCCTGTTAGCTAATGGGCAGGAGTTCAAGCAGTTCATTGTAGATATGCTAGCTAAGCCTGATGTGATTTGTGTGCAGGAAACATGGCTCAAACCGACTGTGGAGTTTATCATACAGGGATATGTAGTGGTTCGTAAAAGCAAGGACTTCCCTACGGGATGATAGGCAAAGGTATTGAACAGGAATATGTGGTGGTGGAGGTGTGGTTGAGAGGAGGGGTGCTAGTGGTAGTGAACTACTATAATCCGTGTCAGATATTGGACCAGGAAGTGCTGGAGAGGGTGGAGGGCCAGGAAAGAAGTAAGGTAATGTGGCGATTTTAACGCCCACAACACGCTTTGGGCGTGAACGGATGGATGGAAATGGCCAAGTGATGGAACATTTGATAGAAAAGAAAGATCTGGTGTGCCTGAATAATGGCCTACGGACCTCACTCTGGTATCTAGTGCGATGGCAGGAATATGTGAGTGGGAGGTATGGGAGGAGTCGACAGTAAGGAGTGATCATTACCCCATAGTATGCACAGTAGGGAGGAGGAGGTGTTAGTGGATGGAGTAGGCAGGTGGGTGTTTGGAAGGGCAAAGTGGGATCAGTTTCAGGAGCTGAGTGAGCAGGTGATGGCTCGGGTGGATATGAGAGGGGATGTGGATAGTATGAATAGCTGGGGGAGAACAGCGTTAGTGGGGGCAGCTACTGAGGCTATACCTAAGAGTTCAGGGAGGAGGAGGAGGAAAGCAGTCCCATGGTGGACGGAGGAATGAGGGGCAATGGTGAGGATTAGGAACAGGGCATTTAGAGGACTGAAAAGGATGCATAACTTCCAACATCTGATTCAGTATAAGCAGGCCCAGGCCCTGGTGAGGAGAATTATCCGTCAGGCAAAGAGGTCATGTTGGCATCGGTTCTGTGACACCATTGGAAGGGGAGACACCTGTGGGAGAAGTGTGGGGGATGATTAAGAGGATGAGTGGGGTCAGAAGGGAGTGGGATTATCCGGTGTTGACGAGTGGGGAGGATGTGGCAGTAACAGATGAGGAGAAAGCAGAGATGATGGCCAAAGCATTTGTCCAAGTGCATAGCTCCGCAAATTTGTCAGAGGGGCAGAGAGGGAGAGAGAACACGAGAGAGGAGCATCCTGGAGTGCTGGATAGGAGGGAGGATGTATATGATGCGTTGAGTGCACCATTTACCAGGGCAGAGGTGAAAAGAGCAATAGGTAAGGCTGGGTTAACTTCACCTGGGAAAGATGAGGTGTGCTATGTTATGTTGACCCATCATAGTGATGAGGCACTGGATACGGTATTGGTGTTGTACAACAGAGTGTGGGAGGAGGGGAAACTACCAGGCAGTTGGAAGGAGGCAGTAGTGGTACCAATCCGGAAGCCCGGGAAGGATCCAACGAGGCCAACAAGCTATCGGCCAATAGCTTTAACATCACGTGTTACGAACCCCGTGGCTTTAACAGTCATGGGTGGATAGAAAAGAGACCCGTAACATAACTCATGCGAATTAGAATATTGACACGGAACAGAGAGAACAAAATACACAGACAACCATAAGCTACCTTCAAACACAAAATGTTTATTATAAACACACAGTAAATGGTTTGGGGAAAAGGGGCTGAGCTGGACCCAAGGAATGAAACAATAAAGTCAAACACCCCTAAACTGATCTTGCCTGCCTCAAGAACCGCTAAACTTACTGCTAACCATACAAAAATACAGTGGGTGATCCGCTCAGGTCTAACTAGTGTTTTTAGACAAGGTTTTCCTACGGGTAGTGTATGTCCAAGGGTGACTTGCTAAATCCCCCTTTTCCCAGGCACAAACAAACAACATAGGTACAATATGGGCTAAACAGCAAACAAGTGAGTACACAAAAACAAGACACCACAGTATACATACTCACAAAGAAAAAAGAGTCTCTGTCAGAAAACACAACTGACTGGCTTTTAAAACCAGGGGATTTGATATGGTAATGTAAAACCAGAAACAGGCGGTGCAATACGGAGGAATGTCCATGATTGGTCCACCTCAGCAATCAGCAGACGAACGGATGTCGGACAGGTGGGACACCCCAACGACCACCAATCAGGAACACAAGGGACACCTGTGATTAGGGCTGAAGGAGAGGAAAAAACAAATACACATACAGGATACCTATATCCGTAACACACACCATGAGAGACAGGTCAGACCCTCTACCTAGCCAACTGTCACACCATGAGAGACAGGTCAGGCCCTCTACCTAGCCAACTGTCACACCATGAGAGACAGGTCAGACCCTCTACCTAGCCAACTGTCACACCATGAGAGACAGGTCAGGCCCTCTACCTAGCCAACTGTCACACCATGAAAGACAGGTCAGAGACTCTACCTAGCCAACTGTCACA